CTTTTCTTTTCTCTCCATTTCCCATTCCCCAAGAGAAGCCTACAAAATCTCATAAAATTTCTCTCTAGATTAGAGTCTCTAATTCTGACTTATCAAGAAAAATAATAAAAATAAGATAAAATAGAGTTCTAATGTAATTAGGAGGCTGGTGATTCCCGCATATGAAAACATGTAGGCTAAGGAACGTTTCCAACACATCAGCAGTGCAGTTGCAACTACTTCGAGCCTGATTTCGACCTCGATGCGGTCTGTATCTCTCAAAACTCAAAACATAAAAGTGGTAAAGCTTCTTCTTGTCGTTCCAAAGCATCTTGAATCATCTTAATCGGAGCTTTGGATGTGAGAGTTATGCCCAGATTACGAAGTAATGCCAAAACTGTCCAAAATTGCCCAATTAGCTCAATTTTTCACTTAACTTCTCCAATTGTGCCCTAAATCAAAATATGAGAATAATGAGTCCATTTGGGCACTAAATAAGTATAAAAGACTAAGCATTAAGGGAGAAAAATATGATATTTTGCATTCTCATCAAGAACATGGGACCCACAAGAATTGGGGGGGGGGGTTTCAGATGGGTGGATTAATCTATCATGGCTCTCTTCTTGGTGCCTATAGGGTGTGGAGTTCCAATAGGGCAGAACTACTGGCAATGCTACATGGCCTGAAGTTAGGAAAAGAATTAAATTGCAGAAGGATAACTGTGGAGTGAGATTCAAAGGTAGTGGGGGGGATGGCTAAGGAATAAAGCACAAGCAACCTGGAAGTATGGGTACACATTAAGGATTATCAAGTTGTTAGTGGAAGAATTGGAGGTCAGATTCTATTGTGTCCCTAGATGCACTAAATGGTATGCTGATGGCTAGGAAAGGGATTAATAGATCTGAAATGTATTGGGATGAAGTAGGGATTAATAGATCTATTTTCTCATTCTTTTTTCAGGTGGCGCATGAAAAGGGGAAGGACTATGTGGAGAGGACTGAGGGCTGCAGTTTGCTGGTCCTTATGGGAAGAAAGAAACTCCAGGATCTTCTCTGAAGTAGAGAGAAGTGCTAAAGAATTGAGGGCTTTGATCCTTATAAGGGTCGTACAGTGGATGAAATCACTAGAGCTCTTCACAGATTATACAATGGATGACATGTTGAGGAAATGGGGTGAGATTGCTAACAATAACCAGACCAAAATAGTGATGAGTGTGTCTTGGACTCCCCCACATGCGGGTTTTATAAAACTAAACTTTGATGGGATCTGTAGAGGGAATCTTGGACAATTAGGGATTGGGGGTGTTTTTAGGGATGAGAATGGGGTTGTTTCTGCCATGTTCTCAGGCCCAATTGGACTGGGTGACTCTCTCAGAGCCGAGATCCATGCGGTTTTGGAAGGAATCTAGAAAGCTAGGGAGATGAATATCATAAAACTTATAATTGAAGGGGACTCGGAGGTGGTGGTAGGATGGTTGAATAAAGACAACAGTGGCTTATGGAATTACAACAATATGAGGAGGAAATTTAGATGGCTGGCTCGAGAAATGGAAGTTAAAATTAGTTGGGTAAAAAGATCAGCTAATTCTTTTGCTGATGGGTTAGCTAAACAAGGGGTGAAGAGGGAGTCAATGTTTTGGGCACAATTGTAATTTTATCTTTTCTATTTCTCCTTCTCTTTCTCTTTTTTCCTTTTTTTTTCCTTTCTTGGCGCTCAAGTTATAGCTGGAAGATAAGAAAGTTTGTCTTCCTCTTTGTAATTATTATTGAGATATGGGTTGTGCTATTGATCAAAAAAAAAAAAAAAAATAAAGTTTCAAGGGGAACCTGATGTAAACATCATATTGGGATAGGCAGAAAGTGGTGGCCTACCCCTACCAAAAAAAAAAAAAAAGTGGTGGTCTACAGCCCTTCTTGTGTAAATCTGTATATTCTGTATAATTACTCATATTTTTTTTTATTGTTAGCGTGGTCAATAAAGAATAAAAAAAGCCTTGGCCTCTTACATTTCTCCTTAGAGACCAAGGCATTAGACTCAACATTGAACACCTCATCAGGTGGGGTGGATCCCAAGGTTGGCTAAAGCTTTGGCTGGTGTATTTGCTGTAGGGGGACTGGGATGGGCAGAACCAGTGTTTTTAAAATCGTACGATTCATATCAAATCGTTAGCAAAATTGTGCGATTTGTATTCAAATCGTTAGATGGAATTGTAAATTGCGATTTTTAAACGATTTGAGCAATTAATGAATTAAAGTGGTTTTAGGAGAAAAGGACTGTGTAGTCCTATTTTAAAGTTTTACTTTTATAAATGAGGGGTCATATTGTCCTTTTAATTATTAAGGGTTATTTGTGTCATCAAGCAATCAAATGAGACTTACCTCTGAATGAAAATGCCTGGGTGGGAGAGAAGAGAAACCCCCTTCTCCATTTGAGAACCACCAAAGAACAAGACACCCTTCTTCTTCTTCTATTTATTTTTGGTATACTCTTCTTCTTGTTCTTTGATGCCAAAACAGGGGCTCTGCCCTTCTATTTTTCTTCTCAGACTTCTTTGATGTCAAAACAGGGGCTCTGCCCTTCTATTTTTTATTCCATGATGACACTAAAACAGGGCCTCTGCCCTTCATATTCTTCCTCTTATACAAATATTTTTGCCCCTTCATCTTTAGATGCAAAACAGGAGCATTTTCTTCCTTTTTTTCTAACACAAAAATAGGGGCTTCGACCTATTATTATGTTCTTTTTTTCTGATACTAAACAGGTTCTACTTCCCATTTTTTTCCATTTGTTATTTGACACAAAAAAGGGGATCCACCCTATTTTTTTCATCTATTTTTGTAATGTGAAACAGGAGCTCTGCTGCATCGTGTTTTCAGCCGTTTTGACATAGAAATAGGGGCTCCACCCTGTTATTTTTTTTCTCTCCTTTTCTTATGCTAAACAGGGTCTACTCCTCATTTTCTCCCATTTTTTTAATACAAAACAGGGGTTCCTCCGTATTGTTTTTTCATCCTCTTTTGTATGCAAAATAGGATCTCTACTCCATGGGTTTTTAAGTCTTTTTTGACTTGAAAACAGGGGCTCTGCCCCATGTTGTTTTGGTAAGGTATTTGAGTTTGAATTCTGAAACTCTGAAGATTTCTTTGTTAGCTCATGGTCTCTTTCTCTCTCTTTCTCTCTCTTATTTTAGTATTTTTCATGAATTGCATGTTTGATTTAAATTATTGAAACTTGAAGTTGAAACTATAGGGTATTAGGGATTAGATAACATTATGATTATTTTCCCTTAAAAACTTGGGGATAAGATATTCAATAGTAGATTAATATGATCATAGGCTCACTATTACTACCTACTTATATTATGTCTATACGTTGAAAATTAATACAAAGTCCTTTTTTCTATTTTTTTGAGAGGGTTAGGTATTTTTATAGTTTTTTTGACAATTTTTAGAAAAATCAGAAAAAATCTAATGATTTACAATACTATTACAATTTTCAGAGGCACTTGGTTTGGGGGCTGAACAGCATACCTGATTGTCTGTTATGTATTTTCTATTAGTTATTGCCCACTCTCCACTGGAATGCAGCTAAAGGTTACCTACCCATCTATACCATGTCTAAGGTGGCAGTGATAGCGGTCTAGGCTCTGAAGTTGAGAAGAAGAATATTGAAGAGACGGATTAGGGTTTTCAGAACTTAGGAAGACGAAGGAAGGGAATGAATGAGAATCCCCTTCTTTGAAGAAGGGCTCTCTATTTATAGGCTCAGAACTTTCCTAAGGAAGTTAAGCTTGGATCCCTAGGCTAATTTGATAAGGACACATGTTAGATTGCAGAAACGTACCTGTGTGTCCACAGTTCATGACATTCTTCTGCATTACTATGCTGATATGTGAGTCCATCCTCTTACACCTTGTAGTAGAGGTTTTTTCTTCTCATTAATAAAGATACTTCCTAGATGGTCATTATTAGGGGTGTTCATATTGAATGTCAAACTGACCAAACCGGCCCGAGTCAACCCGATTTGGTCGGTTTTTCAAAATCACCGGTCGGTTTCGGTTTGTGTAAGAATGAAACCGACAGATCGGTTTGGTTTCGGTTTTCACACATGAAAACCAAAACCAAACCAAACCGAACCAAACCTGTAATACATACACTAATGTAGAGTGTTTGCATCCTTGGCTAAATGGCTATTGGCCTATTGAATATTGATCCTTAGTTCCTACTCCCTAGTCCTTCCCTATCCTTGTTTCTTGGAGAAGCAAGAAACAATCTGTGGTTGGTAGATCTTCAGCTGAGGTAGAGTACAGAGCTATGGCTCATGGAGTTTCTGAGTTACTTTGGCTTCGATCCCTGATGGAGGAATTTGGTATTGAGTATGACAGACCACTGGTTCTGTATTGTGACAATCAGGCCGCCATTAACATTGCTCACAATCCTATAAAACACGATAGCAAAACACATTGAAGTTGATAGGCATTTCATTAGAAAAAGAGTGACTTCTGGAGAAGTTTGTCTACCTTTCATTACATCTGAAGAACAATTAGCTAATATTCTCACCAAAAGAGCCTCCAAGGCCAAGCTACAACATGATACAGGCAAGCTGAGCATGATTGACATCTATAATCAGCTTGAGGGGGAGTGTTGAGAAGATGGGCCAAATGGCCCATAGTCCACAGCTTATGTTTTATTTTTTATGTTTATGTTCTGTTTTGTTAATGGGCCTGTTAACATTAGTTTATGTTTATGTTTAATTAGTTAGCCACCCAACTAAGGGCTTACTTGTAATTTCTAATTGTTAGTGATTAATTTCTAATGAAAAGGATTAGGGAAAAGAGAAGCTGAACAAACAACTCTTCTTTTTTCACCCTTTCTTCTCAATTGGTCTCTTTCTCTTATTCTCTTCTTGCTGTCTCCTTTTGATTCTTCCATCTTTTAATCAATTTTCTTGATTCTTTTGGGACTGTTTTTCATCTCCTTGATATCCATATGAACTGACATTGGCCTTTTTTCTGTCTATAGTTTGTGCAGATGGAGTGGTTAGGGTGTTTAAGTTGGATGATGCTTCAAGTAAAAGCTTCAAGTATGGCTTCTAAAATACTTACTCTTGCCTTATTACATTACTCCAAGTCCAAGTGCAGATTGTAGTACATACGCTCTCTTCTTTCTTCATGCTCTCTTCTTTCTTCATGATTCTATCTTCTGTACATTATTTGCAGGTTTTTGAGAATTAACTTGCCTGTTGGAAGTCATCCAACTGCAGTTGTCTTTTCCAATGGAGCATCATCTTTGGTTGTGGCTGCACAAACTCTTTCTGGTTCTTCTTTATATATGTATGAAGAAGGAAATGTGAAAACTGCTAGTGAAACTAAGCAGCAATCCAAGCTACCCCTCCCAGAAATTAAATGGGAGCATCACAAAGTCCATGATAAAAGGGCTATCCTGACTCTGGTTGGAACTAGTGCAACTTATGGCACTGCGGATGGGAGTACAATTATTGCATCGTGTTCAGAAGGTATGAAGTGGTCGCTCTTTGCCTTTTTTTTGCTTTCTTTTTGAGGAAAGATAACAATTTAATTGATCAAGAAAAAGGGAGGGATGTACATGAGATGTACAACACAAAGGCCTTGAAGACAATAAAGGAGCAATACCAACTTAAAAATTTGGCATTTTATTTGCACTGTGCAAGGAATCCCTTCCCAACTCAGATTTTTCTACGTCACCTGTACCTGATTTAGTTCTCTGGGGATCCTTCTGAAGCTGCAATTAACATAGGAGACTATCTCATGTATTTCCAGCAAAAAATGGTAGAGCATCCAAGGACCAGAATCCTGGGCAGTGGCCTAGCTAATGGAAATTTTTGAGTCTCCTTGTAATCTGCTGAGATTTGACAATTCTAAGGCCTTCCAAGAAAGAATGAATCTCAGCACCTGTTGCATCCGAAGCTGAGGTAGGGGCACTGAATGCCTGAATTAGAGTCACCATTAGAGCTACACAAAAGGCCTCCTATGCCAGCTTTCAGAGGGGGATCTTGAAGTCTTCTGAAGCTGGCATTAAAATTCAGGGTAGTCTTTATCCTGCTTTGGTGGAAGAGGGATAGAAAGGGTGGTGATTAGCAGGATAAACTCTTAGCAATTTATTTTTCATTTTAGTTATCAAGGTTAATACACTTCTTCATCAACTAGCAAGTAGCATCTATGGTGTACTAGTGTTTTTTAAACTTTCAAATTAATCATCTGCTAAATAGTTTAGTTCTTTTTCACACTAAAAATTTGTTAATTAGTTGACCTTACATTTTTAAACCACCACTTAGCATCCTTTTGGCACCAAGCATGAAGACTATTTTGGACATTGATATGACTCAAGGATGATTTTCAAATGTTGTCAAATCCAGTTACAATGGCATAAAACATGGTTATCTAGGATTATCGATATTGACCAAGTGCATAATATTCCTTTCTGTTGATCAAAATAATAATGGATTAATGATGATGATGAAAATTTGTTATTTATCAAAAAAATGATGATGATGAAAGGCCAATCCTTCATTTTGGTTTTTTTCCTTCATGGCATAGGTGCTCTATTTACTTTCCTATTTATTGTAAAAAATGTAATGTATCCTATTTTGATGCATATGCAGAACTTCCTTTTTGCTGATCAAAATAATAATGTATTAATGATGATGATGAAAATTTGTTATTTATCAAAAAAATGATGATAATGAAAGGCCAACCCTTCATTTTGATTTTTTTCCTTCATGGCATAGATGCTATGTTTACTTGCCTATTTGTTGTAAAAAATGTAATGTATCCTATTTTGATGCATATGCAGAACTTAATATGCTGCATCATGTTAATATTATCAATATATCAAAATTATTACCTATACTTGGATGTTCAAATGTTGGGCAACAGAAAGCAGCACTGAAATACAAAAGTCCAATATATTGCCAATCTATAGCTGTAACTCAAATATTTCAAGATTTATTTGGTGTATGGCTCTCCAATAAAATGAAGTTCCAAAGGTGAGAAAGGAAATATCAGCAATGAAATCAAATTATTTAATGGAGACCTCTAGCAGCCTAGAAACAATAGAATAGTCTAAATCAAATATTTTTCCCAAAAAATCTTACATTTATTCTAGATCTTTAATGAACAATTTCATTTGGACGTTTCATTTAAACCCATCAATTTGGTTATACAAGCTTGAGCATTTAATCTTCTAGAGACAAAATGAGACCTTTTTATATTTTGATGGATAACATGACTTTTGTTAATTGTTAAAGCATGATCTAATTACATGTGATAAATGGAGTGCCTTTCATTCCTCTAGAGAGTATGGCACCTCCCCCTTTCGCTTGCAAATGGTTCCCTATTGGTTGATCTATATTTATACATAAATATGTCAAGTTGATAAGTTGCATCTTTTTATGATAAGTAAACAGGAAAATTTTATTAAATAGAAAAGGCCATGGCATGTCCATGGGGAGGTGTGAGAGGTGAGGAGGATATGATTTCCTTTGAATCAGTGAAGATGGAAGGGGGGGAGGGAGACTTCGGGAAGAATGGGAAGCACCGATGTTGAGATGGAAACTGAGGATGGGATAATCAACAAGAAACTGTGCAATTTGAGATCTCACGACATTCTTCATGTGACAAAGATCTTTTCTAAAACTTGGCCTCGCAGGGACCGGACCTATAAAAAAATTCAAATGGGTACATAGAAGAAAATGATGAAGAGGCAAAGGAACTTCTGACACTGACCATAGGGGGGTGACTGGTGCCAGTTCAGGCACTGGATTCCTTTATGTTGGAGAAACACCAGCAAGTCAAGAGGAGTGGCAATGGCTCTGATTAGGGGTAAGTCGGGTGGGTTGGGCTGGGTTTATGGTCAACCTACGCCCGACCCTAAAATTTGGGCTTAAGGCCCGAGCCTGAGGTCATGCCTGATTTTCCCAACCCGAGCCCAGCTCGCCCTATAATTTGATGCACTCGGGTTGGGCTCGGGTTGGTCAATATGAACCCACTCTAAAATTATACATATATAAATGTATTGATACAAATATATATACATATATTTATGTATGTAAATATGTATGCAAAATATCTATACAAATATGTATGTATATATATGTAAATATGTAGACAACATTTGCATATATACACATATATATGTATAAATCTATATAATTGGGCCGGGTTTGGGCTACCTAAGGGCTAGGCCCGAGCCCGGCCCGAAAAATAAAAAAGCCTGACTTGTTGGGCCCGAGCCCAGTTTGAGGACTGAAAATCTAAGCCCAGCCCATGTAAAATTCCGGGTTGGGCCGGTTCAGGCTTGGGCTGGGCCCGCCCAAGTTGCACCCCTAGCTCTTATTCTATTCTGACCAGCACAACGAAGAATTCTAATGTACTTGAAGAAAATTCAAAAGGAGTGAATCTAAAGAATGTAGTCGATAGAGAAGTTACAATCAGGAAAAGCTTGGGACTATTCTTCTTGGGTGGTGAAGGATTTTCTAGTAAAGCATTCGAGGAATTTGAAAGAAGAAAAAGGAAGAGAAAGATAAAAACAAAGCTCAGTCACAGCGGAGAGGGGAATGAACGAGGAGTTCTCAAACCAAGAAGATGAATCACAGATGAAGACTGATGCAGGCTTTAGGATAGGGTCCTTTGTTTCAGGGTAGGGGTGGGCTAGTGGCCCTTATTTTTTTGGGTTTGTTATGGGTCTAGGTTTTCGTTTTTGTTTTGGGTGAATGGGCAATGATCATGGTTGTAAGTTGTGATTGTATTGGGCTTTTTGGGTCTGGCTCTCTTGCTTTTGGTGATGTCTTATCACCTTCTGCTATACTTCTTTTTCCTTTCAATGACAGATTATAAATGTACCTAAAACAAAAGAGAGAGGTGCCACTTTCCCCAATCAACAATAACAGATTATAATTGTACCTAAAACAAATGCTCCATAGAAACCCCTTGCTTAGCTAGACAATTTCCCATCCCCTTAGCTGATCTTCTTTCCTATTGATTTCTCAAAGTCAAATTACTGCTAAACCATTTAAATCTCTTCAAGTCCTCCCTATAAACCTAATTTGCTGCCTCTTTTTCTTTAGCCAGTTTAAACATCCACTTTGAGTCCCCTTCAATGACCATTTGTCAATATTCATCTGTCTTGCCAGCTGTGCCCCTTGAAGTGCAGCTAATATAGTTCAGCTCTAATTGAATTCCCCTCCCCTACAATTCTACAAACAAAGTCACAACCCTTCTTTCTTTGACTCTAAATACACATACACCCCCTATACTTGAGGGCCTTAGATTGCCTTGACTACTCTCATCAAAGTTAAGCTTGATGAAATCTTCTTGAGGTGGTGGCCATTGCGAGGTGCTTGCTGACTACACATACACCCCCTATACCCCCCTTCTTTGAAGAGCTTGTTGCCACTAACAACCAGATATCATCAAAGGAGAAATGTGAGGTGTCCAAAGTTTTCACCCAATGAATCACTGTTGTTACTATGCTTTCCATCATCACTTCCACATTTCTTTCCTTTTGAAGGAAAATTCTGACATTTCTTTCTTCCCAAGTGGTCCAAACCAAAGCTGCCCTGACACATCTCCAAAGGATTCTACCTCTCCTCTTTGGCCATCTAAAAGTTGAACGACCGAACAACTTGTGTAACTCTAGAGGTAGAGTCCACCTGCACCCAAATAAAGAGAAAAACCTTTCCCAAATACCTGCAGTAGATGGATAGGAGATTAGTAGGTGCTAACAACTCTGCCCATTAGCTTTACAAAAACCAGTCAGAGAAAAGCAAAGAAGAGGCCTTCACGGCCTTCAATATAAATCTTACCATAAAAAAACTTCCCAACAAAATGCACTAATTCTAGGGACTGTCAAAAAAAATGGATTAATTCCAGGGGAATAGGCTTGCACCAAATTTCCTTTGAATGGAAACCGAAGGGGAAGGAGAGACACAAAGAAGAAAAGAAAGAATACCATTAACATGACACAGAGAGGAAACAAACTTCACAATTGGCTTTTTTTTAAACAATGAATTAGCATACAAGGAAAAATATCCTTAAGCATAACATTCCCAACCCACACATCTTCCCAAAATAAATGTTTATTCCCAAAACAAGCATTGTACCTAACCAAATTGATAAATTGAGGAAGGATAAGGTCAAGGTAGCCCGTTAGGATACCTTAGCATTCCAGCTATTATCTGACCTACCATGATCATGAATACTCTCCACCACCTTATACCATAATCTCTCCCTCTCATTAGGACACCTTCACAACCATTTACCTAGAAGATACTTGTTCTTCTTAGCAACATTACCTATTCCTAACCTCTCTTGTTCCTTCATTCTGCAAACAATCTCCCTTTTTACTAAATGATCTTTTTTCCTTTCACTCGGCTAGTTGGCTCCCATAAGAAACCCCTCATGATTTTCTTTAGCTTTGGCATTTGCGTAATTGGTGCCTCAACACAGAGAGGTAATAGACTAATAGATTTGCAAGGGTGGATCTAATCAACATTATTCTACCCCCCAAAGAGATATAATTTCTCTTTGACATTGCCAACCTTTTAATTACCCTTCTAAGATAGGACTCTAAAACCTACTCTCCTTAGGGGCATGTCTAAGTATTTCATAGGTCAAGAAGAGGGGAACAATCCCTAGGGAAATTGCAAATGATTCTAAGATTGTACCATCCGAGTTCACCCTTGCCATACAACTTTTCTCCAAATTAATTCTCAAATTTGAAACCTTCTCAAACAGTTTCACCCAATGATTTAAAAGGCATTCTTGAGGTGCACCTAGGTGCACAGGCGGGGTGCATTTTAGGATATTGCCTTGCTCTTTTTTATAGGGATTAAGAATTTAAGACCTTGATGTGGACTTGTTTGGGCTTGCCTCAAGGGGCATGGTTGTAGCTTAAAGAATTAGGAATGCATAATGTTTAACATCACATTAGCTATTTGAAGTAATGCAATCAGGAAAAAAAATATAGAGATTAAGAGTTTTGCATGCTTGAATATGTTTTATATGTTTTGCTTGATTTTATTTTTAAAATTCCATTTTACATATGTTTTACATGTTATATTTATGTATTTAATTTGAGATAATATGTTTTTTAAAACATTTATTTTAAAATTTAAGTTTATATTTTTAATTAATATTGTGTTTAGTATTTTCAATATTTTGCTTCTTTTTTATTTTTTTTACCATTTTTTGCATTTTTGTGCCTTGCTTCAAAAAGGCATGCGCCTTGCGCCTCAGGCGCGGCATGGTCCTTGCGCTTTTTTTCCACCTTGCATTTTTTAAAAAATTGGTTTCACCAAACATTTAATGTTTTTTCACCTGCTTAATGCCATCATTCTCGTAGAAAATGGTTAGGTCATATGCAAACTAGAGATGGGTTGCTATCGTATTATTCCTACCAACTCTCTAACCCTTGAAAATCTCTGACCTATCAGCTAAGGAGATCATCCTACTAAAAGTATCAGCTATCAAGGTGAAAAAGAAAGGGGAGAGATGATCACACTGTCTCAGTCCCCTACAAGCCAGGAAAAATATCCTTAACCACCCCATTTACCAGAATTAAATAGCAGCAAGTTTTTAAGCAACCTTGTATCCATTTGCACTACATGTCCCCAAAACCACACAATTTCATTATGTCTAAAAGAAATGACTAATTCACAAAATCATAGGCCTTTTCAAAATCAAGCTTACATACAATCCCTTTCTTCCTAGATCTTCTCGATTCTTCCACACATTCATTGGCTATCAAGATTTGAGCAGTAATTTGTCTTGCTTGAATGAAGACCACTTGAAGATGACTTTTTAAGTAGGGGAGGATAGGTTTTAACCTAAGAGACAAGACCTTAGCAATAGATACCAGTCACCAAACTAATAGACATGAAGTCTATAGGTTGAATAGCATCTAACTTTTTTGGAACTAAGGCTAGGAAGGCAGCATTAATTCCTGGAATAACAAAATGTTTCTTAGAAAATTCATTAAACACCTCAAACAAATCCCCTTTGATTAGCTTCCAACAATCTTGTTAGAAGGCCATGGTAAATTCATCAAGGCTATGTCCATAGAGAAAACTGCCCTTTTGATCTCTTCTAGCAGCATCAACATCCAAAGAAGGCCCTTCTATCCCCTCCACTTTTAGTCTATCATTCAATTACCTTTGATAAATAGACTTGAAAAGGTCCAGAACAGCTCTAGCAGTCTTTTCTTGGTTGTAGGTCATCTCCCCATTCACTTCCAAATTGGCCACAAAGCTTTTCTTTCTTCTGTTTGCTATTGCATGAAAAAGATTTGTATTACCATCCCCATTCATTGTTCTTGGATAATTATTGGAGAACAATTGTTTGGTTCCTTGGGATTTGGCAATTCTTCTTTTCATCTACTCATTTCAACTATTAATTTAAGGTTTTTTTTTTTTTTAAATTTTCAGGTACTGATATTATACTTTGGCATGCAATGAGTGGGAAGATATTTGGGAATGTTGACACAAATCAGCTCAAAAACAACATGGCTACTATATCTCCAAATGGACGTTTTATTGCTGCTGCAGCATTTACTGCAGATGTGAAAGTAAGTTATATCTGTAGTTTTTGTATGAGTGATTACCGGATTTCAGGACAAAGTGGGATGTATGCAATGGTTATATACACAGTTCTGGAGTTGGTTTATTTTGGTGCTGTTTGACAAGTCTTTTTTGAAAGATCATTTGGCAGACCTGACAGCCAAAAGACGGTGTGAGTTTTTACATTAAGATCTTAGCAGCCTAAAGACCGTTTGGTTAAGGCGTGTTTTCCTGTGCATCTTTCCACGTGAAGACATGATGAAAAAGTTGAAAAGCTCCATTTGGAGCTTCCTGAAATTAGCCCAAAATGGGCTTCACGCGTCTTTTCGGGGCATCATCTTTTGGCGGCTAGATCTTTTCCCAACCAAATGGGAAAAGACCAAAACACGGGCTGTTGGGCTTCTAAACGGCCGACAGCCCACATAGAAAGACGTGCCAAACGGGGCCTTTATTTTGACATAATCTCTCAACGCTCTATTAGACTTATTAGTTGTAGAACAATGCATCAGTCTGTTTTCTGGTTGTTTATGTAAACATTCCCACTTCAGAAGTTCAGAGACATTTAAATAATAACTATGCATGCTTCACTTGCAAATTTTGTGCCCTTTGTTCATTCATGGAGCTGTTATCTACTTATCTAGCATGATTGCACTAACTTGTTTACAGGTAAAAAGTATGTGCTTTGGTATTTGTAACTCATATCCAAATTGGACATAAATCATTCAGTCTTATATGACTGGATGTATTACTTTTACATGGTACATGGATGTGTTATATAAAGGTCAAGTTGTGAAGCTTGTACAAACAAGCCAAACTATTACATGTCTAACAGAAAAGAGAAAGTAAGAAATAGTACAATAATCTAGTCCCAGGATTGGGGGAAGACCTGAAAACCTCAAGGCACAACCAAAACTAAGTTATATCACTAGTGCCTCACAAAAAATTTTCCTGCTCTGGAAGAATCTCTCTCCATGATACACTTTATACAATTTCTCCCTTAGCAAGATCTTGCCGTAAGGAATTGGATGATATTGGGGATATTTATAGTCCTTTTAAGCATATTCTTTAGAAAGTCTTACAAGTAAGTATTTTATTTAATTCTCACCTTTCTTATCAAAGAATGAGTAATTGGCTTAGATATCAATCACTTCTTTATTTTGATACCTGCAACTAGTTATATAAAATGGTTGGTGACTAACAGGTTACCATGCACAACCATGTTATTATATTTATGCCCTACTGGCAGTAGTATTTGCTATCTCATTTCAAGCTTTATTTTTCACATCTCTTTGTTAATTTGATTTAAATGCTTACTCTCTTAAAAAACCACCAGATTCTTGTCTGATACAATTAATCCTAATTTCTTTAAAGTTCTAGTGATAGAACTGAGAGTTCAGCAATGAGGGTCTGAGAATGAGGGTTTCGAACCTTCTCTCTCTCAGCACCCTAACATTCTTTTATTAAGATATATTTGAATAATTACAAGGAGGCCCYTAGGTGGGCAAGAATTTACAAAGAACTTAATATAGACAGGATGGGCCCAGAATAAGGCCCATTACAGAAAAGAAACATAAATAACAAGAAAGAATAAACAACCTATGGGCCATTCGGCCCATCTTCTCTACAAGAAAGAAATGCACTTTCTTCCCATTTTCATCAACTTCTTAGAAATATATGTCCATCTAGCTTTACTTCTTTCATACAGTCAACTAGTGCCTCCCAGCTGGTGACAGCTAGGGAGGATTTGTTGCAGTGGATGAGGCAAATTTGTCCTAGAAGGTGTTGGGTTGTACATTTGATGGTTTGTTTGGAGTAGAGCTCTAGCCAATTTTCCAAGGGCTATGGAACTGATAGCTAGTGGGGGAACATTACCCTCCACGTTTAGTGGTTGAGGGTTTGGCTCCTTAGGTCAGTGGTCGGAAAGGTTGAATCTCTCCCGGTCAAGTGTTTGCAAGGGTTACGAGTCTTACGACAGAGACTGGGCACCATGCCTACATAGATGGCTTGTCTGAGTGAGTTCTCAAGTTGGTGCAAAAATCCTTCAAGAAGCTAGAGGTTGAAGATGGTAGCCAACGACTTCCTACCATTGAAAACAAAAAGAGGAGAAGACGTTGCAGGAAGAGAAGATAGGGATTTAGGTTTGGTAGTTCTACTTCTACGAATGGAAAGAGGGATTGTGAGAGGCTATCTAGGGAATTAGGTATGGGGACTAGCTGCTGGCAAGTACTTCGGTAGCTGCTGTAACCTCATTTTAGGTGGCAATAGGCAGAGATGAATCTAGGTTGGCACTAGTTGGATGTTTTGTGAATTTTTGAAAATTTGAATTTCAATCTTCTTCAGATGGAGACATGGGTGGGGAGGAGTGGTCCAAACATTTTCTCCAAGGCAGGTCAAGCTTTTGGTTTGGACCCTTCTCTTTCTACCTTATGTGGACCTGTGGTCCAAGGTTAGAGCTTCTAGGGTGGGCCTATAGTCCAAGGCCTACTTGATCTTCCTGTTCACTCCATTTGGGACTGTCTGAAGAACAACATGGGCCTAGAAAAATTCCAAGCCTATGCTTCTCAATCTTTGAAACTTAAGGGCTGTTATAAAGGGCCCTCTCAGCTCTTGATCTTCAAGCCTTTTTCCATGCATTATACCACAAAGGATTTGTCAGCTTTTCTTGAAAAGCTTTTAAATGGCTATTCATTGGTTATTGACTATGGACCCCCAAGGGTGACCTCTAATCTGCTGTGTGTTCTTGAAGCAACTGAGGATGCCTGTTGATGCGTATAGATTACACTAGCAAGTGCACTAGCCGATCAAGTAATACAATGATGAGTAGGGTATCGTTCTCACGAGGATTGATCCAACAACTACTAGTAATGAATCAACCATTTGTTATATGATAAACTGAATTATTAAACAAATCAAAATCCTAATTCCTAACTAGCAAGCTATCCTAATCAGTTCGGATCAAACCACTTTCATGCAATGGGAA